AGTTGGTTAAGCAACTGCCTTCGGTTCAGGTCATGATCCTGGAGTCCCAGGATCGAGTCCTGCATCCGGCTCCCTGCTCGGCAGGGAGTCTGCTTCTCCCTCTGACCCTCCTCCCTCTCATGCTCTCGGTCTCTCATTCTCTCTCTCTCTCAAAAAAAAAAAAAAAATCTTTAAAAAAAAAAAAAAGAACCCATTTCATAGCCTGTGATCTTTTCCAGCCCTTAGATTCAGATTTTTCATACATTTTTTTCTTCTTAGTCTATAGGATTACATTTTCATTCATCCATATTCAATTTATTCCTAGATTATCTTGGGCATATTTTTCTTTTCCTCATCTCCTTCAAAGAAAGTAGAAGTTTGAGAAAACAAGAAGTTTTGGAGAATTTAAACAATGGATGATCATTATTGTTGGCAAAAACTAACTTGAAATGAGGATCCTTGATACAATTATGCTTAGCATATCTATCAGTTTTCTTGGGACATATCTTTAGAGAGAGAGACTAAAACCAATTTTAAGGGGTGCCTGGGTGGCTCAGTCAGTTAAGCGTCTACTTTTGGCTCAGGTCATGATCCCAGGGTCCTGGGATCGAGCCCCCCAGAGTCCTTTCTCAGTGGGGAGCCTGCTTCTCCCTCTGCCTGCTGCTCCCCCCTGCTTGTGCTCTCTCTCTGTCAAATAAATAGACTCTTTAAAAAAAAATCAATTTCAATTTATATTCTATTTATGTGCTGTTCCCTGTGTATATCTCAAGGTATTTACCATTCAGTTACTGTACATAATACTCCTGTGAAACTCATGGTCCAAAAACATTAATTAACTTAATTTACAAGTGGATAAACTACAGCCTAAAGTGGTTGGGTTGCTTTAGGCATCTGGACAAGTCTAGGGAAGTTGACAGCTGCCAAACAAGGCCTGTTCAATTAATATTGTGTCCCAGAATTGAGTTCCTCTGAAAAGGAGAAATCTGTTCCTGCGCTAGCATGTCCCTGGTGAAACTCATAAGATTTTGTTTTTGTTTTCTTCCAGCTAGATTCATTTATTTACATGAAGAATGTTTGGAACTTTATGCCCCACCCAAATCCTTCTCTTCAATGCTAATTAATATTCTTGTTTACTGTGTGTTTGTGTGAGTGTGTGTGTGTGTGTGTGTGTGTAGGCACACATGCATGTTTCACCCTTGGCAGGTCCCTTTTCAAGTTATTGTCTTAGTGTTTGCCTCCTAGCATTCTTTTTTGGCCATATACTTAGTATCTAACCGTTTTTTATGCTGGTAGTATAAGACTGCATTCAGTAGATTCCTTGCTATTATCTTTTGACTTAATAATTATTTGCTGTAATGCCACATGGATTTTCTTATGTATCTTCATAAATGTAATTTTTAAACCCTCTTTAATGTTGGATTGATTTACTCCCTAATAAAGTGCTGAGCACTCCTAGATACCTCTTGACTCCTTTCTTTCCCCTACATTCCTAGAGTTGCTGGACCACTATATGGCTTCTATAATTTTATCCTGACCATATCAATATGCTGCTTAAAATCTTGTGATGGTTCGCCCTGACTCAGAATAAAATGTGATCTCCTTTGCTTGGGATACCATGCCCTTCCTGATCTGGCATATGTCCACTTCATGATCCTCATGTAATCCTTCCTAAGCTGGGCTCTAGTCATACTAAAATACTATCCTCTGCCTCTGCATATGCTGTTCCCTTTACCAGGAACATCTTTCCTTATCCTATATCTAAACTAACGCGTCATCCCTCTCCCTCCTGAGTGTGAGTTCTTTCATGGTGGAGCCAAGTGTTCTATTTTTGTAACTAGAGGTTGGTAGAGTGCTAGATACACAATGTGAGCTTTAATACATGTTTGTGGGATTAGTTCATGTAATTAATAGTTGCATGGCTGTGGGATTCACCATCAATAGAAAATACCTTATAATGACTACTAATAACAAAGTTTTCATGAAATTCTGGAGTGTTTAAGCTGTGGTATCCCAAAATAGGACCTGGTTGGGACCTCAAGGGTATCTGCATTTAGTAGAGGGAACTGGAGGTTGGGTGAAGGAACGCGGTGATCAAACTTGGAGAAGCCCTATGAAGTTCAGTAATTTTAAAGGAACATCGGCAGAAAAAAGTTCTAAAAAACAATTTTATTTTGTTTTCTATCAATTTAACTCTTTCATCCAATTTGTCATGTATTTTATCAGCTGAAGAGCTAAATAATTTGGACATTTACTGTAATCTTAATGTTTTTAGTTGTCTGAGCACAAGTAATGCTATACGGGAAAATATTTTGTTTTGTGTATTTTTCATTTGGCTGATGAAATACAAAAATATCTTAACTCCACTACTTTTCCTCCCCTGAGCCTTGTGAGACACACCGCACAGACACTGGAAGGGAAAGAGGGAGGCTGAGGCTAAGGAGTGACAAACTGTGAGCAGCGTAAACTCCATACACGCAAAATTTTCCCCAAGTAAGAAACTAGCCTTTTTAATGACAATAATTGTCTCTAGGCAAATACATAGACATTAAAAAAGTTAAGTTAAATAATTCCACATATAGAATATTAATACTGGTAGAAGAATGTCTCCTCAATATCCTATAGTTCAATATTTGCCTCAGGCATTTATTAAAAACTGTGTTGTGTATAAATATTACACAGAATAATTTCCAATATTTTATATTTTATACCTTTTTTCCACTCCATCAACTAAAGACCCATAGTTTATTTTAACATGTCTAAAATCATAGCATATATTTAAATAGTATTTAAACAATAGTATTTAAACAACTGTTAGGACACTTGGCTGGCTCAGTCAGTAGAACAAGCGACTCTTGATCTCGGGGTCATGAGTTCAAGCCCCATGTTGGGTGTAGAGATTACAAAAAAATAAATGTCAATTTTTTCTGTAACTTTATGCACATATCTATGGAAACCACTGATAATCTGTGGTCTTGAGTATATTCCACTATTGATAGCTGAATATGTACTTATTTTTGTTTTACAAATTAGGGGCTGAATGATATGAAACTAGGTTTATAGACAGACTTGTTCCTTCCTGGTCCAGAGTATTGCTAGTGTTCTCTCTCCTTCTGTTCTGTCCAGGACATTCTAGAATGGGAGTTCTAGCATTCACCCAGGGCCATAGCAGCTGATTGTGCTTTAGAGGTTCACGCTTCTGAGGAACAGTTAAGTAAACTAGGGCAATTGGGAACCAGAGTTTATGAAATGTAGTTTCTTAAGAATAGGTACACCATCAAGTGAAATTCAATAAATATTGTTTGTAAGTATGTGCCATATTATTAATAAACTTATTTTTTCACAGATGATTACTATTGGTATCTTATGTATTTGCTACAGTTAGTAGTGTTTGTATTTGAAATTTAAGTGCCAAAATGTTACTGCAATAAACCAATACGTTTAATTATGTATAAAACAATCATATGAATAACAGCTGCAAGTATTTTAAGTATGAAATATTTTCAAATACTTTCAATTAATTTTTCTCCATTTCTAGAAATCTCTTCAAAATTTCAGAAAATCTGCACAGCCTCCTGAAAACATCCAACTGTTACTGAGATGCCAGAGTTGACAGTAACTTCCTAACTCTGCTTTAGCTTCTTCTTGGGTGACTAGCATGGTAAAAATGTTTAATGTGTTAGCAGGAGTAAGTAATGCCTGTATGAAGAAGAAATTATTGGAATTCCAGCATTTATCCTGATATTCAGTATACCAGATACTAAATATGAAGCGTATTAATAACAACAGTAAAAGTTCTAAACTTTTTTAAAAAAAATTTTAAAGATTTTATTTATTTGTCAGAAAGAGAGAGAGAGCGAGTGCACAAGCAGGGAGAGAGGCTGGCAGAGAGAGAAGGCTCCCCACTGAGCAAGGAGCCCAATGCTGGACTGGATCCCAGGACCTTGGGATCATGACCTGAGCTGAAGGCAGAGGCTTAACTGACTGAACTACCCAGGCGACCCAAGTTTCAAACTTTTTATTTTTAGCATTTTATTTAGCTATTGACCAATAACCTCTTGAAAACAAAACAAAATAAAAAACAAACGGGTGCCTGGGTGGCTCAGTTGGTTAAGTGTCCAACTCTTGACTTCAACTCAAGTCATGATCTTGGGGTTTTGAGATTGAGCCGAGTCAGCTCCATGCTGGGTATAGGGGCTGCTTAAGATTCTCTCTCCCTCTGCCCTTCCCCCCTGCTCTCTAATAAATAAATAAAATCTTAAAAAAAAACCCAAAACATAGATTTCCAAAAAGTTCCGCAATTCCAAAATGTAGGTTAGTTTCGTTTAAAAAAGTAATTTAAATATAATATTAAATATGAGATTACTAGAACTAGTCAGGTGTTCTTTTGATGTTCCATTGTATTCTTTAAAAAAAAGTTTGCTTTTCCTGATCTCAAAATACATTCATTAGAGAAAAAAAAGGGAAATACAGAAAAACACGGAAAAGAAAAAAAAATCAGCAGTAATTCCTCCAGCTAGATAAAATCTCTATTTATATTTTGGAGGCTATCTTTCTAGTTTCGCTTTTTCCTAGCAACTGCAATTATTTTTTTATTTTGGTCCTTGTGCTAGCCTCTTCACATAAAGCTGTGTACAAGGAATCTTACAGAACAGATATCTAATAAATGGGATACAATGTAACCTACCTTCCCCTCTACCCTTCTCTCATGATAGAAACACCTTCTATTCTTTTTTCTCATATCTGGAATTGGTATACAGAGTTAGTGACTAAAGAAAGACATATTTGGGCGCCTGGGTGGCTCAGTTGTTTAAGCGACTGCCTTCGGCTCAGGTCATGATCCTGGAGTCCTGGGATTGAGTCCCGCATCGGGCTCCCTGCTCAGCGGGGAGTCTGCTTCTCCCTCTGACTCTTCCCCTCTCATGCTCTCTATCACTATCTCTCTCAATAAATAAATAAAAATCTTAAAAAAAAAAAAGACATTTATGTTTTTAACAAGATAAAAGAAACAGGAGAAAACCAAAAATATTCAGGTATTTTAATTATCACAGAAATCAAAGGTGTATATGGACACAATTATGTGTCTATACACAACTATATATGTGTATATATGCCCATATGACTATTTACAAATATGTAAACATACATACAAAGTCTAGAAAGGAATATACAGAAATATGTGTTAGGGTATTGGGGTGATGTTTCTTTTTTATTAATTTGTAATATACTCAACAAACCATTACACTGAGATAGGACTATTTTAATGTTACAGAATCTTATACAAATGAATTTGTTCAAGAGCTTCTCTGTCAATATGCTTTTCTGGATATACATCGTAGGTCAGTGGTACCTCTTCAACCCAGGAAGATAACTGTATATTAATCTGGAAGAAAAAAAGATTATAAACAAACATGAAAATTGCAGAATGATGCTGTTCTCTGGAACTTCAAGAAATCATGATGAACTAAATAACTGAAGACAACAGATTTTTTTTTTTACAACAAGCAGGACTAAGTTTACATGGTGTCACATGAACAATTCTTTGTTGTACTACATGGTAGGTCTGTGGATTCAGGATTTAATTTACTTTGATTTTGGAATTTGAAAAAATAAAGAAAATACAGAATAATTGTTTTAACGTAACTAGGTTAATAATTATCATTAGGTTTAAACAATAAAAGACTAAAACAACAATGAGAATACACAGAGAACAGGGACAACTGTTCATACATACACAGTGATGGTGCTAAGGGGTTGCATGAGAGGCACTAATCTCCCTCCATAACCTTCATCAGGCCCTTCCCTTTACACTGTAAACTTTTGAGTCCCTATGACACAGAAATTCTAGAGCCGCCAATGAATATATCTGGTTATAGAAGTTTCATTAGGGACGCCTGGGTGGCTCAGTCAGTTAAGGGTCTGCCTTCGGCTCAGGTCATGATCCCGGGGTCCTGGATCGAGTCCCACATTGGGCTCTCTGCTCAGTGAGGAGTCTGCTTCTCCCTCTGCCTGCTGCTCCCCCTGCTTGTGCTCTCTCTCTCTGACAAATAAATTAATAAAATCTTAAAAAAAAATAAAGAAGTTTCATTAAACAAGAAAGCAATAAAGTTATTCAAAAATTCATGCATAAGGACTCTTTCATAAGTAATAATTTCCAGTGCTTATCTATAGACAGATTTATATATTTAGTGTGAAACCATTATTTCGTTAAGTGAAAAATCACCAAATTATTTCAATCTATATAGAAATTATAAATTGGAGACCATATATATATATATATGGTCACATATACATATATATATATTTTTAAGTTTATATATATCTCTCTATATTTTTTTTGGTAGGCTCCACACCTAGAGGGAGCCCAATGCAGGGCTCGAACTCAAGACCACTAAGATCAAGACTTCAGTTGAGATCAAGAGTCGGATCCTTAACTGACTGAGCCACCCAGGCACCCCTTGGAGACCATATATTTTAAAAGGCATATATTTAAAAAAATTTTTATTTTATTTATTTATTAGAGAGAGAGAGCACAAGCAGGGGGAGTGGCAGGCAGAGGGAGAGGCAGGGTCCCCACTGAGCAGGGACTCGATGTGGGACTCGATGTGGGACTCGATCCCAGGACCCTGGGATCATAACCTGAGTCGAAGGCAGACGCTTAACTGACTTAGCAACCCAGGCGTCCCTAAAGACGTACTTTTATAAGCATGGAAAAATATGGTGGGTTACACCACACATGAGATGGGTCTCTCCTGGAAAAGAATTAAGTGGAGGGGATGGGGAGATTAATATCTTTTCTTTATATATCTCAGGATTATTTCCCTTGTTATTGTAAACATGAATTTTTATAATTTATTTATTTATTTTTTAAAAGATTTTATTTATTTATTTGACAGAGAGAGACACAGTGAGAGAGGGAACACAAGCAGGGAAAGTGGGAGAGGGAGAAGTAGGCTTCCCGCGGAGCAGGGAGCCTGATGTGGGGCTTGATCGTAGGACCCTGAGATCATGAACTGAGCCAAAGGCAGACGCTTAACGACTGAGCCACCCAGGCGCTCCTACTTTTATAATTTAGATGATTGACAAAAATTTCTTAAGGAAGTATTATTGATGATGGCTTAGTTTTTTTTTAAAGGAAGAAACAGATTCTTACATTTGGCAGTGCTTATAGATAAGGAAAGCGCTACTAAAGAAAACTGTAATACTCCATTTATATTTTATTTCTTTCATCTAGGGGTCTCTAAGAACTTTATAAATACTAATTAACCTTTATATAGGGTCAACTTATTGGGCTGAAACTTAGTAAATAGGGGCCTTACTTTATATGGAGAATCTAAGGAACAAAGAAGTGGTTTGTACAAGATTCCAAACTGTGCACAGTATATGGGCCTCCAGTCTACACATCCGATTCTAGAAGCCTTGAACAACTCTGTTCCTTTTGTTCTTTTTTTTTCTTAAGATCTTATTTATTTGTCAGAGAGAGAGAGGAAGAGAGAGAGCACAAGCAGGGGAGCATCAGGAAGAGGGAGAAGCAGGCTCCCTGCTGAGCAAGGAGCCTGATGCAGAACTTGATCCCAAGACATCTCTGTTCCTTTTGTTCTAAGGGGAAAGTTATGATGTGGGTGTTCTAAGCCTCTTAAAAACATTTAGTAGCATTTGTTAACCTAAAAGTCTAACCCCCAAGTTGGAAAAACTGGTTGGAGAAGCAAAGGAATCTATATCAAGATAGGAATTGCAATTTCAGAGCTCTTGAGGCCAATAAACAAACCACAAACCAGTTCTTAGGCCATAAGTTACTGCTATTCTTTCTATCGTCTGTCACTATATTCAGACAGAACATCTCTAGAATATTGTTAATAGCTATCAGAAAAAAACTGGAGAAAAGTTTTGACAATAAAAATGCTGGAAAGGGGCGCCTGGGTGGTTCAGTTGGTTAAGCATCTGCCTTCGGCTCAGGTCATGATCCCAGAGTCCTGGGATCAAGTCCCACATCAGGCTCCCTGCTCAGCAGGGTCTGCTTCTCCCTTTCCCCCTGCCCCTGCTCCTGCTCTCTCCTCTCTTTCTCTCATGCATGCGCTCTAATAAATAAATAAAATCTTAAAAAAAAAGTGCTGGGAAAGAGGCTTACATACCTGAAGGCCTGAGAGAGAATCTTCAAGACTTGGTACTGTTACTAATAACGATCCTTGTTTTCTTACATTTTGACTGATATATTCCCAGGCTCTGCAACATATTAAAAACTTATATTTTAGGTTTTACCAGACACTGAACACTTTTTAAAAAATGAAGATGACAAAAGAAAATGCAGCACAGGCAATACCTAGAAATCCAGATGGGCAAAATGTTTGCCTGCAGGAAATAGCATTGCAGCAAAATATTAGAAATTGGTAAATTCTTCAGTTTCTGAAGGGGGTGTTGGCAAAATTGTGATGTTACAACATCGAAGAGATTCAACACAATGGGGATTTGTGTTACTATGAGGTACTGTTAAGGCTGAAACTCAGTTTTCAGAACCAATACACAAGTCAGAGCTGGATCAGTAGTTAAAGCCCCTTAAACTCTTTTGATTTTTTTGAGGGGCGAGGGAGAGGGAGGAAGAAGGGGAGAGGGAGAGGAAGGGGGTGGAAAGAGAGAGAGAGAGAGAGGAGCAGGGGAAAGAATCCCAAGCAGGCTCCAAGCCCAGCGCAGAGCCCGACACGGAGCTTGCTTGATCCCATGACCCTGAGATCATGACCTGAGCCGAAACCAAGAGTCAGAAGCTTAACTGACTGAGCCACCCAAGCGCTCCTTAAACTCTTGATGAAGTGTGTCAAAACTGATTCTGCAGAATGGAGAAGGGCTAGGAGGTAGAGGTGGGGAAGAGTAGTGGAGAAAGGCCATAGATGCCAGAAGCCACGCAAAGACTAACAATTAAGCCTGATATGTAGATTACATCTTTTAAAATAACATCAAGAGTGAAATCATACTTTATTTGGTTGTCAAAAATATTTAATGGAAAGACTTTTGGGCAACATGGCACCTGCAAAGTTGAGTGGGGCCAGCCCGGTTGAAAGCATGGTGAAATGCCATGTGCGTTTATATGCGCCACAAGGCAGTCCCTGCCCAGGTCTGACGAATTCAGTGCAGACATGAGCTGGCTTTCTATACTGTGCGTGAGTGTTGACCGTACACCCCACTAGCAGGGAGCAACGGCCAAGCAGAGCAGAGATACACATCCCTTGCAACGGGCAGGTGGGCAGCGGTGTCATCTGCATTTCTCGCAGTTACAGCAATGGTTATTAGGTTTAGTATTCTGGAGTTTATTAGGCAAAATGATACAGATGTTCTTCCTCAGGCTAGATCTAAAATCATGTAGCAGTGCTTGATAATCGTCACTGTGCTTGGGCTAGAGCTATTGTTTTGATGTGGTTCCTTAAAAATGACGTATTTTATAAGTTTATTTAATAAGAATGAAGAAGAATGAAGAAGCTGACTAAATTGGCACGGTTGGCCATGCCTCTCAGAATAGCACTCGCTGTTTCTGGTAAGCTATCATTCTGGTAGCTGTATCTGTTTCACCTACTCAAAAAATACACTGAGGCACCTTTTAAACTAACAATTACTCTACAAATCTGGGGTGTTACTCTGTAATGAGATCGGACTTATTCTGAAGCCTGAGTCTTTGCTGAGTACACATTTTCTATTATTATGATTTATTTCTGTTTTCACTTATATACTAACTCCTATAGCAGTATCATTCCACTTGTCTCAGATTCTAATTAAGACAAGTCCTTGGAGGCTATATGTGGCGCCATCTTTCTTTTTCACTCAGTATAATACAGAATTAACATAGGTAAATGATCAGTTTTGTCAGAACGATTCCAATGTCAGAATGCTTTACTGTGTCTTCTAAACATTCTCCTGTATACTGTCATCCATGGCTATAATCTGTTTCAAATTCATTGTACTAGACTGATTTAGGAAAAATGACTGAACTAGCACACGTGGTCGATACCTATTCACTGAACAACGTAGAGCGTGTATGAATGTACCAAGAAAGCTTTTAAAACAACCCAAATATTCAGTATTTCCGGTGTCAAGTTCACCAGTGGCTTTCATCATTCTTCAGCAGTCAAAATCTTCCTGTAATGAATCTCCAAAGATTTTAAAGTGTTTTTCTCTTTTAACTTCTTATACAACATAAACCTGGTACTACTTCATTCTCCAACAATTATGTAATGCTTTTGCCACTGGTTATTAACTTAAAAAGATGAAAAGCTAATCATACTTTGTCCACTGGAAATTAAGCTTAAAGAGGGCTATGATTAAGATAACTTTGCTCATGTTGTGTTTCTGGTCTTTAGCCTGTGACCAAAAATTGTCACCCATTCTGGCTGAGCTTTGATTATATGATTAGCTTTCTTTTGAACTAGTTTCTTTTAAAAATATTTAAGCTGTTAATTTCATGATGACCTTAACCTACTAGTAACAGGTATGGGTGTGTGTGTATGTGTGTGTATGTGTGTTTGAGACAGAAAGCTGGGGGCAGGGGAGAACATAGAAGGTAAAAGGGTGGCAGGATAAAGAGGTTTAGCCATTCAGGATTCCACTCTGTATTAACTGTTTATGGTCTATATGTCTTTTTATTTCTCTGCAGTAGAAACCTTATTGATGCACTAATCCAAAATGGAATTTGTGTAATTCCATTTTGTACATATGGAAAGGAGTTTTCCTGCATTTAGAGTACACATATGCCATTATGATAAAAAAAAGTCATGAATCCTAGCTAGCTAGAAAATCAATGTCTCAGACTATGGACCACAGGAATTTTCTAATTAGAGGGACCTACTGGTCCTGATGGGTCACAAAGCATCAAATTGTGGCAGAGAAGTCAAAAAAGTGATCATAGATATGCTAATTTTTCCACTGCGTGAATAGTGGAATAGTTTTAGGAACCTACTATTACCACCTTAAAAATATTTTAAAAGTTTGATAACTAATCACTATTTTGGTTAATATTCTTATATCTTATATCATTTATAGAAATTAATTCCCATCATGTTTTTTCAAAGAAAATAAAACGGAGACAGAAAAGAATAAGTATAAATGCCCATCAGGAATTGTTATCTTATTGCATTCCTGATTGCTAAGCAAATGCTTGGGTCATGGTATCATTTAATATATGCGCCCCCATTAGATGTAATATTTTACAAACTTAGACAAAGTTTACTTTTTGTTTAATGCATAAGACATTTCCTTATTAATATAATCTTGTTGAGGTTGTTTTAAAAAACAGTTTAATATGAAAATACTTCTACTTTACCAATCACTTTTTTAAAAAAAGGTATGTATTTAAGTAATCTCTACACTCAATGTGGGTCTTATATTCTCATATTCATAAGACCCACACAGTGTGGGTCTTATATTCTCCAAGATCAAGAGTCACATGCTCTACTGACTGAGCCAGCCAGGCACCCCACTAATCCCTTTTCATAGTTTGCTGAATATATTTTAACAGATTTCTTGCTTGAATAAGTAACATACCTGGCCTGTTCTGCCTCATCAAGAAAATATTCGAAGACATTATTCATGATAATGACATCAGCATTTTGCAGAAGTGAACCCTGGGTACAGATGTCTGCATGAAGCACCTTAAGAAGAATGAGTTCATTTAAGAAAACAAAGATAACCACAGAAGAACTATCTATTGGTTCAACGATATGAGGCGATATGAGAAGTCAACCTTAATTAAAATGGGAGAAAGAACAGTATATTTAATAGTATCATCTATGGGAGATATTTAGTATCTAATTAAAAACCATAAACTTGTGAATATTTGTTTTAGATAGATTTGTTTACATAGTCATATAATTACAGTCTTTCAACCCCCAGCAGTTCAGAGCTTTTTCCACGATGACTATATCATTAATTGTAAGAGTCAAAGGCCGTAGGTTCAAACTCTGGTTCCATCATCAACTGAGTTTGTACACTAGGCAGTTGGTATCTTCATAAATAAAAAGGAATAATATCTGTCCTGATTCACAGAATCAAATGGATCATATAAAAACTGTAAAAGTTATTTATGTATTGTAAAATGTTAATACAAAAAAAATAAAATGTTAACACAGTATGTTTATTGGCTTTGTCTGACTTTTCATCTAAAATTTACTTGATTATTTATCCAAAAAAGCAAACAAAACAATGTATTTAAAAACTATATGCCTCACACCCAAAACAGTAAAATACCTAGGAATAAACTTAACCAAAGAGGTGAAAGACCTGTACTCTCAAAAGTATAAAACACTGGGGCGCCTGGGTCGCTCAGTCGGTTAAGTGTCTGCCTTTGGCTCAGGTCATGATCCCAGCATCCTGGGATCGAGTGCCGCATTGGGCTCCCTGCTCAGCGGGGAAGTCTGCTTCTCCCTCTCCCTCTGCCTGCTGCTCTGCCTACTTGTGCTCTCTCTCTGTCAAATAAATAAATAAAATATTTAAAAAAAAACCAACAAAAGTAGAAAACATTGATGAAAGAAATTGAAGATGACACAAAGAAATGGAAAGACATTCCATGCTCATGGATGTAAAAATGTCTACACTACTCAAAGCAATGTACAGATTTAATGCAATTCCTATCAAAATACCAACAGCATTTTTCACAAAACTAGAACAAACTATCCTAAAATTTGTATGGAAACCTTTGACAAAAGACCCCAAATAGACAAAGTAATCTTGAAAAAGAAAAACAAAACTGGAGGCATCACAATTCCAGGCTTCAAGTTATATTACAAAGCGGTAGTCATCAAAGCAGTATGGTACTGGCACAAAAATAGACACACAGATGAATAGAAGAGAATAGCAAACTAAGAAATAAACCCACAATTTTATGGTCAGTTAATCTTTGACAAAAGAAGCAAGAATATGCAACAGGAAAAAGTCTCTTCAACAAATGGTGTTGGGAAAACTGGACAGCTACATGAAAAAGAATGAAACTGGACCATTTTCTTACATCATACACAGAAATACACTCAAGATGGAGTAAAGACCTACATATAAGACCTGAAACCATTAAAATCCTAGAAGAGAGCACAGATAATAATTTCTCTTACATTGGCCACAATAACATCTTTCTAGATAGGTCCCCTGAAGTAAGGGAAACAAAAGCAAAAGTAAACTATTGGGACTATCTACTAAAGGTAACAATCAACCAAACTAAAAGACAACTTCCTGAATGGGAGACGATATTTGCAGATGACGCATCTCATAAAGGGTTGGTATCCAAAATATATAAAGAACTTGCACAACTCAACACCAAAAAACCAAAAAATCCAATTTAAAAAATGGGTAGAAGACATGAACACACATTTCTCCAAAGAAGACATCCAGATGGCCAACAGACACATGAGAAGATGATCAACATCACGCATCATCAGGGAAATGCAAATCAAGACTACAATGAGATAGCATTTCACACCTGTGAAATTGGCTAAAAACAAAAACACAGGAAACAAGTGTTGGTGAGGATGTAGAGAAAAAGGAACTCTCTTGCACTGTTGGTGGGAATGCAAACTGGTGCAGCCACTGTGGAAAACAATATAGAGGTTCCTCAAAAAGCTAAAAATAGAATGACCCTGTGATCCAGCAATTGCACTACTGGGTATTTATCTCCGAAATACAAAAACACTAATTCAAAGGGATACATGCACCCTTGTGTTTACTGAAGCATTATTTACAACAGCCAAATTATGGAAGCAGCCCAAGTGTCCTTCAACAAATGAATGGATAAAGATGTGGTATCTATATCTATCTATATGGGATATTATTCAGCCATATATATACAAACACACACACACATACAAATGGTATGATTATACACATATATGATTATATATGGGTGTGTGTATATATGTATATATATATATAGGATATTATTCAGCCATAAAAAAGAATGAAATCTTGCCATTTGCAATGACGTGGATGGAGCCAGAGAGTATAATGCTAAGTGAAATAAACCAATCAGAGAAAGACAAATATGATATGATTTCACTCATATGTAGAATTTAAGAAACAAAACAAACAAGCAAAGGAGAGAAACAAAAAAAGTAGAGAGACAAACCAAGAAACAGACTCTTAACTATAGAGAACAAACTGATGGTTACCGGAGGGAGGTGGAAGGGGGGGATGGGTGAAACAGATGATGGGGATTAAAGAGTGCATTTATGATGAGCACTGAGTAATGTACAGAATTGCTGAATCACTATATTGTACACATGAAACTAATATAACACTGTATGTCAACTACACAGGAATTACAATAAAAAACTTAATAATAAAAAATAAAAACTATATACCTCAAAAAATTAATTTGACCACAATCAACAAGTCTGAGAGAGCACAGGCAAGATAACAAGAGAAAACATCTATTTTCTCAAGTGCAAAACAAACCACTTTTATTTTAAAAAGAAGAAAAAAAGTTTAACTATTTTGCATTAGAAGATTTCTATATAAAATAGAATACTATTTATTTGTAAGGGGTCTGATTCTTAACATATTTTATCCCCCTTTTTAAATAGGAAAAATACTAAGATAATTTAAATTAGGTGGGCCTCTAGTCTCTGAAACACACCTTTGACATATTCCTGAACACATAGAAAACAATCACTTTAAACTTTCTAAACATGTTGCTGAGATATGAAATAGGCAGGCAAATTAACCTACTGATATACCACAGTTTCCTCTTTTTCTTTCCCATCTCTGTTCACTCTCCCACACCCCACCCCACAGATAGGGTAAAAAAAGAATCTGGTGGATCAATTAATTATGGCAACCAACAGAAGTCCCAGGGAAACTCCCCAAAATGGCTCTGGACGAACTGGAATACTAACAATGCAAAGGCCACATGGCAACCCAAATAATTTAACCAATTTTTAATGGGCACCTCCTATATACGAGATACTGTGCGGGGAGATACATACACCATGACAAATGAGATACAATATCTACACTCAAATATGTTATATTCTAGTAATGGGAAAAAACAGCTATGCCGGTGACGCTAAGTGCCATCAAAGGAATAAGCAAGATATGAATAAAGAAAAATTCCCCTTTAGTCTAGTGGAGAGGGTAGAAAGAATTTAAATCAATGGGTCTTTCATGTAAAGACAGTGCATAAGACACATGGCATCCTGAAACCCCATTATAATAACAGTATAGTGTTTTTAGTATACCCACGAGGATCGGGGGATTGGGAAAGGAAATAACAGAGATAAAATTTTGTAAGTTAGGGAAAAAAAAGGAACTAACAAGGAATTTAGGAGACCAGAAAAATCTGATTTCTAAGCTGGATAGATAGAAAGCAAAGACCCCCACTTGGTTTATACTACAGAATCTCAAAAAGGCTCACAACTGGTGGCACCAGGTATTTCTGGGTGAAGGAGTAGGGAGAAATGCTAAAAATAAGGTAATTGGGTTGAAAGTCAGTTTTAGAAGTACCCAGACCCCTATATGACTTTCTCATACCCCAGCAAAAGAATAGAGGTTTCTTCTATTTACCCTGGAAAGGGTAAAACAAAAGGTGTCTGGGTCAGGGGACACCAGGACTAGTTGAAAGAAAGGCTAATGTACTGAAAACGAGGGAAGTAAGGCAGACAGGATGCTGTGAATCCCTTATGCTTCACTTCTTTTCCTCTACCACTCAGTCCCCAGGATGTTGTTTGCCACTCAGTAAGGAGACTGATCCCAAGAGGAAAGATCTTAAGATACTTCATCAGATACTCCCCAACTAATTAACCAACCAAACAAGATCACTCGACACTGAAGCCCACAGTGCTCAGAATCCCCTACTTAAATGCTGAGAACTTCAATCAGCTTGTTTCTCACTCTTAAGTCTGAATGGACAACCAAGGATTCCTAGACTTCTTAGGAAAGTCCTGTTAAAAAAGACCAAACAAGAACAAAAACAAAACAAAAAGCAGAGCCTGAGACTTAAAGGCTACAAAGATTTCAAGATACTATAAAAAATAACCCTAGAATTCCTTTCTGTTGATCTTAGGGCCTCTCAAACACAATTGTCTTTACCATTGAGGAAGGAAACTGTTAAGGTTGCCAATAAAATGGTATAAAAACAGCTTTCTGTCATTGGGTTACTAATAGCCACTGAAGCCGCAGAAGTACGTGGGGTGGGCATTCATCCACATATGCTCTGTTGAAAAGCAAGGGGTAAAGACCTTTTAACATGTAAATAAATGCGTTTTACATATCTTTATCATCTTCTTTAAAAAAATAACAAGGTACTTGGATCTCCATTTATTTATTAAAAGATTTATTTAGAGAGAGAGAACATGCGTGAGGGGGGCAGGGGAGAGCGAGAGGGAGAGAGAGAATCCCAAGCAGACTCCCTGCTGAGCACCGAGCCCCACGCAGGGTCATCCCACCACCCTGAGATTGTGACCTGAGCCGAAATTAAGAGTCGGATGCTCAACCGACTAAGCCACCCTGGCACCCATTTATAAACTAGGATTCTTAAAAGGTCAATTTTTAAATCTTAACTTTCAATTAAATCAACATTCCTGTTATGTGATTATTATTATGCAAGAACAATGTGTTTCTGTTCACTAAATATGGGATAGTGAGAAAAATCCATGAATTTATTACTAGACAATAAATTTGCTTTAATCATTTGCTTCTCTAAGATGAGAGAGAAACAAAGAGAGAGAAAAAAGGAAGTTTGGAAGGAGGAAAAAACATTTCCTTCCAATTAAAAAGGGGAGGACTAGATCCTTAATCATACCGAGATATCTTTCAACACTAACACCAGAGAGCCTTAGTTGCTCAGTATCTCTCTGCATTGCCATTGAAGTGTAGGACCGTCAGTGAAAGGGTAAGAATTACTGCATTAACCAAAAAACTTCCTTTCCCTTTTCTGGTTATTTTTCCCCTTACATACAGGAAAAGAGAAAAGTTCTGTTATAGCCAAATGCAGGGCATCATTCTCCTGAACTGCCGTTCTGTGGCATCCACAACTCCTGGAAGCTTAGAAAAAGAAGGTAAAGAACTGAGAGCATTACTTAACTTTTTTGCTTACTTTCAACATAAGTTTCATTAAGTACACTTTTGACCTACATCTAGAGATTCAAATTTGAATGCTGCTACCAAAACTATACCACAGAAAAGATGAAGGAAATTAAGAAAAATTCTACTTTCTAATAAAATTGGGGAGGAAGAGAAATAGGAGTGGAAGGTAATTATAATTAAATTCACCTTTATGGTTTAAAAGTACTAAGTCAACTCAATCTGTTTCTACACGACAGCAACCAAGAATAGATTCAAAAAGAGTTTCCAACTCCAATCCAGAAGAAATTGGACTAAATTATGCTATAAAATAGATAACAGAATATATATTTAAAAGGGTACCTTTAGTGCAGCATAGGGAACATAGTCAATGATATTGTAATAATGTTGTATGGTCACAAATGGTAGCTACACTCGTGATGAGCATTGTGTAACATACAGACTTACCAAATCACCATGCTGTACACCTGAAACTAATGTAACATTGTGTCTCAACTGTACTTCATTACCTTTATTCTGTCAGTGAACTGGTATTTTTTTATGACCATTTCCTGCAACTGGCAAAAATCTCCATTCAGTTCTACTCCATATAGTTGCAGTGCTGAACTGTAAAGATAACCCTGAAAAAATAAAGACATGTTATGATGCAAATGAATGAACTGTGAGTTCATTTCTACATAAAATTAAGAAAAATCACACTTTAAAAAAATAGAATTCAATAAAGTAAAAATAAAATGAAAGATAAATAACATGTATGTAAAACTTACAACTTCGAGAACTCAAAGACTCTCACTGATCAAGATCTTGACTGTATTTTATTAATTTCATTATTTAAAAGTAATTATATTTTGAAAGATTGATTTCGTACTTTTCCTGATAAAACTGTGCATACAATAAAGCTGGAAATGAGAAAAGTGATCGTATACAGACTCTCTGTTTAATACCGTATTTCTGTAATTTCTTGGGAAGTTACAGCGGCGGAAAGCAAGAAAGGAGTTAACCCGTGGGAAATATAATGGAAAATCATGCACAGTCTGACACTAGAGGAAGGTGGCTGGAGATGTGTCCTGTTTGGCTTAGGGAAGTCAGTCTGGTGTCTGCAATCTGCCAAAGATAACCGACCAATTAGTTAATAAGGATAATAAAGAACTGACTAGATATTATTATGTATGCACTTTTGATTGTAAAAACAAAAAACTAATATGGAAGGAAAGGTCAAATCATATTCTGAATATCACTTTACATCAAGTAACACCCACACGTGAACCAAATTTGTATTTATAGCTCATGATAGATTTTTAGAATATGTTCAACAGAGCATAAGTAGGTATTCAAAAATTTTTTGTTGACTAAATCAGTAACCATTTTAATATGAAGAAAAATGAGGATATGTTTAAATTTATTAACACTGTCACATACTTGCATAGCCTCATTTCTTTCAGCTATATACTTTTCTAACAAATCAAAAAACGGACAAGAGTGGAGCAAATATTGTAAATAATCATATTTACCCATGTTCTCCCTCAAAAAACCATCTGACAAACTGTATTTTCTATTATGGATATCTTTCCTAATTATAGAATAAAAGCCTTAACACTGACAAATAAACTAAGCACTAAAGAGTTAAGTGTTTCTGTTTAGAGCAGGCAATGGATGCTGGGAACTGAGAGTTTCTGGCATGAGCCTCTACTGCTGTTGGCCACATGTTTTAACAAGTCTGCTAATGACAACCAGAAACCACATTTAAAGTTTTTTGATAAAACCATTTAGGAACGTTACAAATACTCATGATTTGAATTTTTTTTAAAAAGCCACATTGAAGTGATATTTCAGACACAAATGTCTACATTCAAACTTGAATCACAGAAAATTGGAGCAATATATGTCCTTGGATATCATTTAGTAGTTTATTTACAGGTGAGGAATGTGAAGCCAGGAGTGTTAAGTGACTTTGTTATGGCCATATGCAATTTCCTAGGTGAAGTAAATTTTATAAAGTTTTTATAAAAGTTCTTATCAAAGTTCAGTACACTATTTAATACAGCACAAAGAAAACAGAGTTAGAAGGTCAATAGTGACTGACAAAATAGCAAAGTGTTATGAGGTCACCTGCTTCTGCTTTGTTGATATGCCTTCATTTGTGTTACAGACACAAACCGGTAAAGGAAATCAGAGAGCTGGCTTTTGAAATTCCAAATTCAATATAATATTTTAACCTTCTTATTCTGTTACTCTAATAAATAAAGCCAAGCTGTCACCTTGGATGGTGGCAGGCAAAACTGTTGCTAGCAGGAGGAGAAAGTATTTTCCAAATGTTGAATATGTCCATAAGCTGGACTTTACCCCATAAAGGACTGTGCCAAGCCTGGAGCCAACATCAACCAAGACCTTTCCCGACAGATCAGGGAGTACATGATGATAAATGAACTTCAATTCCATGAGGGAGAAGGAATGAGAAATAAATCCTGGAGAATTAGAACAGAATAAACATCAAATTGTGCTCGGGTATTAAACATTCTATTCTGTATTTCTAATTCTTTTATCCATATTTATAAAGTATATTTCATGTTTTTCTCTTCTAAAAATCAATGAAAGCTATTTGGAGACTATTTAGAAAAAATTAATGTGATAATTTTGCACTCATTCACTCTGAGCTATAGAATAACTATGAAGTCTCTGACAATTATTTTTATTTATTTTTTTTTTAGTTTTTTTTTTTTTTATTCATGAGAGACAGAGTGAGAGAGAAAGGCTGAGGGAGAAGCAGGCTCCCAAGGAGCAGGGAGCCCGATGTGGGACTCGATCCCAGGACCCTGAGATCATGACCTGAGCCGAAGGCAGACGCTTAACCATCTGAGCCACCCAGGCGCCCAATTATTTTTATTTTTAAAGATTTATTTATTTCAGAGAGAGAGAGAGCATAAGCGGGAGGGGCAGAGGGAGAGGGAGAGAAAAATCCCAAGCAGACTCCACGCTGAGCACAGAGCCTGATGCAGGGGTCGATCCCATGACCCTGAGATCATGACCTGGGCTGAAACCTGAAACCAAGAGTTGGGACACCTGACCAACTGTGCCACCCTGGTGTCCCCAAGTCTCTGACATTTAAAAAGGCCTCTAGGGAATAGCTACCCAGCAACCTGTCCCTATCCTTATGCCTCTCACTTCCTTCTTGCTATTGCTTAGATGGTCCTTGGGTTTTCCCTTCTTTTCCCTATGACTGCTATTCCGTGGGATGCTTCCTAACTCCCATATCATCTGGCTTTCTCACCTTACCCCAGAGCAGCCACAGAATAGTCCCATACTACTACATTAGACTGCAATACGACTTCAATAGACTACCAAATGAATGACCATCTCTGGAGTTGAGCAATGTGGCAGCCCTGACCAACCTAAAATGTGTTCTGGAGTGCAGGAGAAGGGTGGTATGAAAGGAAGTGACGATATGCCCATTAATTATTCTTATTTCCCTTAGTTTTTTTAACTGCTACAAGCTTCCTAGCCCATCTTCTCCCTCCATTGTTTCTGTAATCAAATATTTGGGAGAGTCTGAGTATATTTTTTAAAGACTTACTATATTATGTCCTACATAATATAATGATGGTCAGGAAGGGGAGAAACTTTGGCCATAACTAAGGGATGGTGGCAAAGAAAATGGAAGCAGGCAGGCTAATCCCCTGGAAGAAAATAAAGGGCATGACTTGGGGTGGGGGTGGGCTTTGACCACCATAGACTTATCTGCCTAGAATCCTCATCCTCACTACTCTGTCACATTAGTGCTTCTGCCTTGGGTTACAGAGTCATCATTAGTGTCTTATAGCTAGACAAGGCCCTTGTCACAGAAGGAAGGAGAGTTCCACAGATGATAGCTTTTTCAGATTCACTGTGGTTATGTGGGCTGGCCTGCATACCCAGTCACTATTTACAACCTGATTTAGATGGGAAAATGCATCCTAATCTTCAAATTTTTACTTGTCAAACATATCTCTTCTTTAAACTTCTGTAAATCAGGGGCACCTGGGTGGCTCAGTTGGTTGAGCGTCCAACTCTTGATTTTGGCTTGGGTCAGGATCTCAGGGTCGTGGGATTGAGGCCCACGTCAGGCTCCTCACTCAGGGGGGAGTCTGCTGGAGACTGTCTCTCTCCCTCTCCCTCTGCCCCTCCCCACCCCCGCTCTCTCTCTCTAAAATAAATAAATCTTAAAAAACTTCTGTAAATCAGATCTGATATGGTATTATAGTTGCAATTCACTTTTTAGTTTTCCTTCTATTGTTCTTGTCTAAGTCACTTTCTGTTCTGTAAATTTCAACCACCTCAAATGGAAACTGTAAGTGCTATCTAAAAACAGAATCTTAAGTTAATCAGGAGAGTTTAATTCCCAATTATAATATAGATACAATATATTTGTATTAGTAGCATATTACAAATTTGGTAGTAGTTAACTTTTGACAATGATATTATCTAAGATCAGTAACATGAACACAAGATTACTCACCTGGAGAGGTAGGCCACCATAAGCAATAACTCTATATCTAAGTGACCAGGAATCCTGAAATAGCATGTCTAAAGGAATAGCCTAGACGATCATATCCAATTTGAACAAAGAAAAAAATATATATATACACATATATATAATTAAAGACTTTTTTATTTATTTGAGAGAGAGAACATGCACGTGCATGAGTGGTGGGGAAGGCCAGAGGGAGAGGGAGAGAGAATCTCAAGCAGACTCCCTGCTGAGTGTGGAGCCTAATGTGGGGCTCGATCCCATGACCCTGGGACCATGACCTGAGCTGAAATCAAGACCCTGACACTCATGGGGCGCCTGGATGGCCCAGTTGGTTAAGTGACTGCCTTCAGCTCAGGTCATGATCCTGGAGTCCTGGGATCGAGTCCTGCGTTGGGCTCCCTGCTCGGCGGGGAGACTGCTTCTCCCTCTGACCCTCCCCCCTCTCATGCTCTCTCTCTTTAATAAATAAATAAAAATCTTAAAAAAAAAAAAAAAGTCTGACACTCAAATGACTGAGCCACCCAGGAGCCCCTTAACAAAGAATACATTAACAGAAGAGTTAACATATTAGCAGCATGGAGTCAGTCTAGCTTCCCATTTGGGACACAGGTGCTGCCTCTGAGGGGTGGAGATGCAGGAGACATCTTGTTACTAAAGTTGTCCTCTGTTATGGACTGGAGATGCTCTACTAGGTCAAATCAAGGCATGAATAAGCTCTTTCTCAAGATTATCTCTGTCCTCGAAATCCATGCCCATCCAACAATATCTGATTATTATCTGACTTCTCAAGTAGATGCTTTTATTGGGACATTTCAGCCCCCTTGCAGTTATATTTATCATTGTAAGTGAACCAGCATTATGGTATGGTTTATCTATGAATCTCTTTGAAGTATGGAAAGTATAAGCGGTTTCCCTGTACTCAGTCACTTGTGATTAGTTTCTGGACCTGAAAAGTCACCTCTGATTCAACAGTTTCTGTGAAAAGCAGAGATACTCTCCTTGGAGACATTACGTGACCCAGCTTCCCTGGACAATGTTGCTCTTTGGTCTCCCTAACCTCAATAATTGGTAATGGCTACGTTGAACGGTTGGCCTTTTCCTTTCAAAAAACACTGAATGACTTGGTCAAGAATCTGTGTTCTCAGGACATGGAGAGAAAAGTATACACAAAGTCGTCAGGTTTGCATACTTGAGTGCCTACCTAAAGGTGCCGTCTGGTGTGAGCCACACACCATACAGTAATTTCTGCTCATTTTTCCTTCCTCACATAATGAATCAATAAAGTCTTCATCATAAAGGAATGCATCAACGTGAACTGTGGGTTCTGGCTGCTGCTGTATCTGGGGGAAAGGAGAAGAACTTCAAAAGAAACGAAGTACAAAGGAGTCTCTTTTTATTGCTAAATAAGGCAAAACATCAGTGGTTCAAATGCTAAAATTCTGAGAGCAACGACAAGGCAGAGAAAGACAAGTTTCACTTATCGAAGAGCCATCCTGCTCTTCTTTTGTGTTTTTTTGTGTGTGTGTGTGTGTGTGAGACACTAGCAACTTTTAATTTGACCTGTAACGATACAAAACGTGGCTAGGAGAAATATAAAAAATTTGCGTTAAAGGAGTACTTTGTGACCGTCTTGTCCATCCTGGGTTGTATATTTTACAAATGAAGAAACTCCTACTCAGAGATTTCTCCAAAGAAACGACCATTTGAAGGGGAAAGAATTAAACTAATACCGGGTCTCCTGAGTCCTGCGTGTCAGTGACCGACCCATGAAAACACTTAGCAAGTCATCTCTGCGCAGAGGCAGAGTTTTCAAATAATAAAATCATTAGTAACATTTCCTGCTTACAATGAACAGCCCTTTATTAATACTGGTGATAACGTGATATAATAGCAAGCAGCTACCAAGAAAAAAATGTCTGATTCCTTTTACCTTAACTATAATAAAGAATCAACCTATCTACTTAGAGACCTACAAAATTGTATCTACACCTACACATATCTATATTATAAGCGTGTAAAATGTATGGATATACACAAGGACCAGAAGGAAATAACAGAAGATAAAAATAGTTTGTTAGGAGAAGGGATTAGGGGTCGACTGTTACATGCAATGAATACTTTTTCCTTGTTTCATGTATTTTGGTATATCATGCTATTGATACGACTGCCTTATTAATAACATCCAAACTATGTTACAAATATTGCTCTCAGTTTTTATACTATCCACTATTTTCCACCTTTGGGACTGGAGGTTTACTAAGATTTGCTAAGTGCTCACTGTGCATAGCACTATTGAAAATGTACAAGATTCTGGGCACCTGGGTGGCTCAGTTGGTTAAGCGACTGCCTTCGGCTCAGGTCATGATCCTGGAGTCCCAGGATCGAGTCCCGCATTGGGCTCCCTGCTCAGGGGGGGGTCTGCTTCTCCCTCTGCCCTCTTCCCTCTCGTGCTGTCTCTCATTCTCTCTCTCTCAAATAAATAAATAAAATCTAAAAAAAAAAAAAATGTACAAGATTTGGTTCCTCTGCTTCGGATTCTACACGGTGAAAAACCACATAGAGGGTTGCTGTTTTCAGATTAGTGGGAGAAGAGATTATTATTATTAGCTTTGTTTCAGGAAACAATATTCCTCGCATATGTACCCCAGAAGAGTTGAGATTTGAAGGGGTTGAAAGAGGGGGCTGTCCAGGGAAGAAAAATGAGAACTTATTTTAGGAATGAAGGAATAGAATAAGCAAAAACCATACAGCACAAAAGCAGGAGAAGAAAACAAAGAGATGAATTTCATCTTTGATAAAAGTGGGGGATATTGAACAGGAAAGAGAAAACCAGGACAATGATGTATACAGGCAGGGCCAGATTACTGTTGGCCTTGTTTTTTGGGGGTAGGGGACATGGAACGGGGCGGCGGGGGGGAGGCGCAGGGGTTTGAGTGTTTGGCAAACAGGATGCCCTCAAAAAATACCCGTTGAATGACTGGGGAGCCAGAGGATTATGGACTCAAAAGAACTGGGGGCATCATTGAAGTACCAAATGAAAAACGGTTTAAAGTAGAATTCAGGACTAATTAGATGAGAGAGGCTGTGGGATTAGGGAAGAATAGGAGAATCCCCAAGTAGCACTAAGAGTAAATTAATTTAATGTATTTACTTTTTGGAGGGCTACATGTTCTGAGGAAAGCATGGTTTCTAGAGGTAAGCAATTCCGAAGGTCCTCTGCTATGTTTTTCAACATAATGTCGTTATTATCTTGAGTGAATTCATCAAAATCTCCTGGAAAAAAAAAAAAAGGAAAGAAATATCTTTTATGGTTTTGGTCATACCTAGGCTCAGTGAACACAATGGCCATATTTTCTGTCAGATAGCATCAATTTATAGCCGTAAATAAACCTTTTAACCAATGAAATATCCAAATTCTAACAAACGTTCTATTTCAAATATTGAGTTTTTTCTTTTCCTAAACTGCTTGAAAATACAAAACTTGATTATTTCAGCCTGTTTGAGAAAAACGAAAGCATTTTAAAAAAATACATAGTATTTTAACTATTTTTACTCAAGAATAATACTGCCATTAGTTTGTAGGGTCTTAAACTTAAGTAGTTAAATATTCCTTCTTTGACTATGCAGATCTGAGAAGTGTAGGAAGCATCGCAGAGATTACTAAGAAGATAACTTTAATCTGAGTACCCCTACCTCCAATAAAATGTACCTAAGACTTCAGATAATAAGCACAAACAGCTGATACCAACTATATAATAAACTTTACAATATATATGTTGCTCCGCTGCATTTGAGCAGCAGATAAATGATCATTAAAATAGCATATTTCTGGGGGCGCCTGGCTGGCTTGATCAGTGGAACCTGTGACTCTTGATCTCAGGGTCATGAGTTCCAGCCTCACGTTGGTGTAGAGATTACTTAAAAAAAAAAAAAAAAACAAACCTATTTCTGATGGCTATGGTGTACTTTTGGATGATCTGGCAAAAAGGATTGGGGGGAATGGCAGGGAGAGTGTGTGTATAGCAATAAAGATGGAGAAAGTTTGGTTACGGGATTGACAGCTGTTGAATCTAGGCGAAGGTATAAAAGTGGTGTTCATTGTTCTGTTGTTTCTACTTTTCTGTGTTTAATTTTTTTGGTTCTAAAACAGTATTATTTCTAAGCAGCTCATATGTAATTTTAAATAGAATGTGACTTATCTGGAAGTAAAATACTCCTAAAGTTAGCTACTGTCTGGGAATGCCAAATGTAGAATAGAAAACGCTACTAATGAAAATATTTTACCTTTCTCTTGAAAGACTTTCTTATATTGAATTTTTACTAGAATAACAGCATCCCAAAGGGATTGTTTCTTACTCTGTTTTAAAATAACTGTAGAAGGAAAACAAGGAGATCCTGAAGGAAATGTCATCTGTCTCCATATCCCCTGCCCCCAAATCTTTGGTTGTTTTTAAGTAAGCTCACGATTTCATTCTTAAACAAAAAATAATTCTTGCGTTGGTGCAGAATGCTATTTTCCTGTCACTAATAATGATTAAAAGTTACAAAGCAGACCAACAGCAGCACAAGGAAATAAACGGAGGTCTTCTGCTTCTCCATAAAGGTACTCTTCTTTTTAGCTTTACTACTCTGTGCCCTATATCCAACGGATCTTTCTCTGTATAACTTCTCATTGAGCAATAGTAGTGAATACAAAGATTTGGTTCTCTGAACTCATGTGGGAAGGCCTTTGAGGCCTTTTTTTTTTCCTTGCCTATTTAGCATACCTTCTTTTTTTTTTTTAAGATTTTATTTATTTATTTGACAGAGAGAGACACAGCGAGAGAGGGAACACAAGCTGGGGGAGCTGGAGAGGGAGAAGCAGGCTTCCCGCGGTGCAGGGAGCCCGATGCGGGGCTCGATCCCAGGATGCTAGGATCACGACCTGAGCCAAAGGCAGATATTTAACGCCTGAGCCACCCAGGCGCCCTGATTTAGCATAATGTTCTAAGCTGTTGCTTCAAATTATTTCTAGAAGGAGGCAGAATATAAATTATAGAGAAACAAAAATACTATTAAAATTCATTCCAAATTGTTTTAGGTGGAACTTAAATAGCATCTATGAATACGTTTTTCAAAAAATTGGCCTTTTTAATTGTATTTGTAAAATCTAATTAAATTTTCTCAAGGTGCTAATTAAACATTTATTAAATAATCTCTACACCCAACATGGGGCTCAAACTCATGACCCCGAGATCAAGAGATGCATGCTCCTCCAACTGAGCCAGCCAGGCGCCCCTCAAGGTGCTAATTAATACCTAACATGTACTTAGCTTCCTTCCCTCCATAGATAGATAGAACACTGTCTGGGAGCCTCTATGACTCACATTTAATTCTAATAATATCACTCCCACCAGTGATCCTTAGCAGGTTCTTTCAATTTGTAAATGGTATAACTAGAGAAGCCAATAAAAATCTCATTATGTTAAACTAAGATATTTCTTATCCCAACTTCTTTGGACGTAATTCTGTAACATAAATAGTCACGTTAATAAAACACAGTTTTCATGTAGGTCTGCCTTATAAAATGAGTCTTCCAGTGAGAAGGGAACTTAGATTATGACCGATTACCAAATGGCTGATCCATCTACTCATCTCTGATATACATATATGATAGTTTAGTCTTTGCTTGAACACATTCAGGCCAGTCTTTCTTCCTCATGCAGAGCCAGAATCTGCCCCTCTATAACATTAACTCATTTTTCCAGTTTCAGCCTGAGAGGAATCATCACATTTAATGCTATACAACATTTACTGAATGAACCCTTCAGGCATGGTAGACTTGGTGCAGTGTTTTTCACAGGACATTTAATCCTAAGACTCCTATAGGTGGTACTATGATCATTTCTACTTTATAACAACAGCAACAAAAAATCTGAGGTCAGAGGTTAAGTTACTTGCCTCAGGTCATATTGGCCAGAAAATGGTAGAGTGGGGTTTGAATGCAGATCTTAGTCTGAACTCTTTTTTTTTTTTTTTTAAAGGTTTTATTTTTAAGTAAGACCCCATGTGGGGCTTGAACTTACAACCTCGAGAGCAAGAGTGGCATGCATGCTCCTCCGACTGAGCCAGCCAGGCGCCCCCTTAGTCTGAACTCTTAATCACCACACCATACAGCCTCTCCAAAGTGGCAAAGTAGGTAGCTGGCTAGTAACAGTCCTCCTGCCACTGCTGAAGTTTTCTCCCCACCTCTGACCACAATTCTCCTCCATAGGATGCCACAGCTGTATCCCTTGCCATCTGCTTGCTGTCTTCTGGACTTGTTCAACAGAACCCTTTAAATGTGGCTCTGTAAGCAGCACTAGCAATCTAGTTCTCTAATCCATGACTACCTTAATTTTATTCTCTTCTCCTATCACTTTGTAGCATCTAGGGCCCTGAGCACCACTGCTCTGGGTGATTAATAGATTTGGAAGGGGTGAGGGTGGCAGTGGAGGCCTTGAGTGCCTTGAACAGTCATACGTAAAGATTGAGGAAGCTGGAACAATGACAGATAGGAATGGCTGCAAATTCTGAACCATCACAATAGATTTCCAGCTGTCTGAAATAGGTTTATTTGAGAGTCAATTCCCAATTAATGTGAGCATCACCAGTCAAGATGAGAGACACCAAGAAATTGTATGTTAAATTCAGTCATTCAGAAAAGGTAGTATTAAATGAAGACTCCATCTATTTTACCTCAATACCAAGGATATCAGGTGAAAATGAGAATCGGCACCTCTTAACCCTGGACAACAAACTCTAATTCTTTTTTTTTTTTTTAAAGATTTTATTTATTCATTTGAGACACAGAGATACAGAGAGAGAGAGCATGAGCAGGGAGAGAGGCAGAGGAAGAAGGAGAAGCAGGCTCCTTGCTGAGCCAGGAGCCCGATGTGGGGCTCGATCCCAGGACCCTGGAATCATGACCTGAGCCGAAGGCAGATGCTTAACCATCTGAGCCACCCAGGCGCCCCAACAAACTCTAATTCAACCACCCACATGCAAGGGTAAAAGGAGATTTCTTAGTTATAGCAACGATTCTTCACCATGGCTCTAGGCAAAGAGGATCCTCCGCATATGGGATTTATGTGGTCCATAAAGGGCCTAGAGTTGTATGCTTGATTGTATACATAAATGTGTATGCTTTTCTAGGAAGAAAGTTCTTAAGAGATCTTCAATAATTATAGCTAATATTACTGAGCACTATATGTAAGGCACTGTGGAAATTTTTAGTGCAAGAAGGCTAAAATTAGCTTTATTATCTGTAGGGGGTGGTTGGCAAATAACTTCTGAAAAGAGCAGCAAAACATTTTTACCCTAATAATGGCTGTACAGGTCAAAAAAGCATGAATATGATATGATATTAATGAAGTATGTAAAACTGGAATTCACTTAACATTGTATTTACTCAGTTATTAAAGTTAAATTCCTTAAAACAATATTTCTAAAAGCTGTGCAATATTCTACCATTGTGTATTTAACCATTCGCTCCTCCTAATACACATTTATTTTTTTTTAAAGATTTTATTTATTTGACAGAGAGAGACACAGCGAGAGAGGGAAAACAAACAGGGGGAGTGGGAGAGGGAGAAGCAGGCTTCCCGCGGAGTAGGGAGCCCGATGCAGGGCCCGATCCCAGGAACCTGGGATCATGACCTGAGCCGAAGGCAGATGCTTAATGACTGAGCCACCCAGGCGCCCCCTCCTAATACACATTTAGATATACTTATAATTGTGAAAAATAAAGGATACTGCAACTGACATTTTGGCATCCATCGTCTCTTTGCATTTCTGATTATTTCCTTATCATCAATGCTTAAAAGTAGAAGTACTGGGCGCCTGGGTGGCTCAGTTGGTTAAGCAACTGCCTTCGGCTCAGGTCATGATCCTGGAGTCCCTGGATCGAGTCCCACATCGGGCTCCCTCCTCTGCAGGGAGTCTGCTTCTCCCTCTGACCCTCCCCCCTCTCATGTGCTCTCTCTCAAATAAATAAATAAAATCTTTAAAAAAAAAAAAGTAGAAGTACTTAAACATTTTAAAGACTCTTGCTACATATTGTCAAACTTCTAGAATATGGATCTCATTAAACCCTTGCAGCATTAAATATTGCCATAAAATCAAACTTTGTTGTTTTAATTTGTGTTTCTTTAATTACTGGTGAGGCTGACATCTTTTAACATGTGAAATAGCTATTTCAGAATGTGTGGTAACAGTATTAGGCTTGGAAAAAGATTAAAGAAAGGTGTTAATCA